GTTGACTAACTTTAAGCATAGAAAAGTTCAATGTTTTGATTCACAAACAGTTTGATTCACAAGTTTTCATCCAATATATTTTATTCAAATTCAAATTCAAACTTATAGTCTCTTTTTTTCTTCAAAAACAAATGTTTTATTATTTTATGATGAAAGAAATCACAAAACAGATGGAAAGTTAATTACAGCAAATGTAAACAACAAACTTTCAGACAACTTGCAGCCAGATTACTTAACAGATCAAGTGATATCAATAATTTAGCTTTTTTTTTGAAGTGATAAAAACATTATTTAATGGTTTTTATTTATGTTAGAATAAGTTTTACAGTCAATATTGAAGAAATAATGAAGGTAAACATATTGAAACTATCATTTCCTGTTACGAAAATCATACTTCCGGTTCAAAAATTCGTCTCCAAGGGAAGTTTAAACTAACACAGCTCTAGTTCTAAAACAGATAGAAACAAACTGTAAAGATATTTAGAAAGCTTAAAATACAAGCTTTTCAAAAGGTAAAAATTTAAAAATCGAAATTTTGGTCGAAAACCGCGTTTTAAAGGTGTTCGTATACAAAATTAGCCAATAGTAAATTGCAATAAATGTTTAAAACCCCCGTTAATAAATAGAGAGAAAGCACATTAAATTTTAAATTAGTTTTAAAGAACCATCTCCAATCAGATAAAATTCCACAATAGGAAGGATCAGCAGAAGGTGAAATCTATGTAAGTTTAAAATAGATGAATTTAAAATCATAATAATTAATAAATTTCGGTTTTTGTTAATATTTGTGATTGATAATCTTTGAAAATTTACATTTTTATAGATGCTGCAGTTGAAAAAACAATGTATTTCTGTAATTTCTTGCAATTTTGTTAGAAACTGTCTCCTCAGATACTACAGCAGAATTTTGGAATCAAATTGAATAGGGCTAGAGGATGTAACAACAGGATTAGAATTATGATAAAAAATTTGAAGAATTAAGCATTGATTAAACCTAGAGTCATCTGTTTCGTCATATGGATGTACAAAATACTTTATCAACACAAGAGGTTTCCACTAGGTAAGAAGCGTCTTGCTGGATTTTGATTTGAATTTATTTTCCACAATGAGGACAAGATGCTCTCCTAAATCCAGGTTAATCAGGCAAAGAAAGGGAGACATTTGAGTTGCTATTTGTAAACAAAAGGTGGAACATATGTTTGACATATTTAATAAAAAGGTCTACGATCATATAGTACCAATGTGCCTTACAACGCCTAGACAAGCCAAATTATAAAGCGATCTTGTACACCACTCATCCGGCCTGTTCCGGTTGAAACTGCAATTCGTACCGGTAGCTGAAGAGTCCAGGCTGACGAGAGGTGATACAGGCATTCTGATGTTTGCTGTGTACATGTTGTTCCAGAATGACTTTTGGCCTGTCAGTAACTACTAAATACAGTTCTGGTCCTCAAAAGATAGCCATCCTCAGTAACGGTTCGTTAATGGTGTTCTCTTGGTTGTCGGGGGACGACCTGTCAGACTGCACATCTGGACTCGTCGGAACATTACCATCATCTTGGAATCGTTGTAAGGTTAATCACAGGCGAACGTGTGTTGCGGTAAGTGGAACACATCTGACAGGCCTACGAGCATATAGACCAATGTGCCCTAAGCGTCTGTACACGGTCTGCCTTGAAACTGTAAGTCCGATGTCGTCCTATAATTCTACCACGTAAAAAGTCATCCAAATGCTTCCTTTGTGCCATAACTATGCGGTTTTTGCACTGAAAGGCTTTTAAAGCGCTTGTGAACAATTTTACTTCTTTGCCATCATTCCTTATATACCCTTCTCTTACACTCTCGTCATTCTGACGTACTATCCGCGCCATCTGGTGGTTTCCTGTAATTTGTATATTCTTCTTCAAGATGTGTGTGATAATTCTACAGGTGAAATTTTTATTTTAGAGTTCAATTTCTTTGTGATTCTGAATTATCCTTAATTTATGGACATGAGTGTAGAAGTATAAAGTTTTTTTTGTATGAAGTTTCTAATAATTAAAACATGTACATACATAAAAATTTCATTGAACTTAAAATTAGAACTTAATAAACTTTAAAAAAAAAAATTGAAAAATTGAACTTTAACATTAAATTGAACTTTAATTTAGGTGTGGGTAATTTATAGAATGATTACTGTTAAATGCACAGTTAGAACATTGAAGTTCACTATGAGCAGCGTGAGAGAGCGGCGGAAGTTTTGACGATTAAAACAACTCAGAGTGATAGAAATATAGGGTATATCAAGGTACTTTAAATATAAGACTTTAATATTTACCATTAAAGTTTAAAATCAAATTTTAGTAAGAATAAAGTTTAAACCTTAATTTTTTCTTCTGAGTGAAGCAATACTTTGATCTACTACTTCTTGCTTTGATCTGGTCTGAGTTGCACACATACGATACTACTAAAAGACCATATCTGGACAACTATTTAATATTTTATGCGTGAAGTTTACTATATTAATGACAAGCAATTCGTTGATAAATAAAAACGCTTTTGAGTGAGAGGCTCTATTTTTCTATCATAATGTTACTAGAACATAATTTTCAATTTATTTTAAACTTCCTACGACTACGTCCCTTATAAGGAAGATGCCTTTGAAGGTTATGATCAAGAACGTAAAAAATCAGTAATCTGGTAAAATCTATCTTCATTTTTTTTTATTTTTCTAACAGGTCCGAACAGACAATGAACAGACGGATTGGTTGTGACGTATTTAGATTTTAGCTAAGGCACATATATTTTAAGTGCGAAAAACGCATTTAATTGCAAAGGCATTTTAGGTCCCATATTACACCACCTACTATTAAGTCCAACAACGGAAAGAAGATTCTTGCTTTATTACTGACAAGAATGAATATGATTAAACTACATCTATCTTTAACAAAATACTCAGGATGTTATGCATCAAGTGAATCTTAAGCATCTTCAGCCAGAAAGGGTTAATAACTACCAACTGACACATCCGACCATCTACCAAAAGAGTTAGCCAAAAAAGAAGTGTTTCTCCCACAAGAGACACAACCCCTCTGGAATCAGTAATCAGGATCGCCTTTATCTATGCACTGTCGTCAGGTATGACAGACAAATGGGTCATAAAACTCCCATTGTTAGTGAAGAACAAAACAAACAATAAAAACATCAGTTTCATCTTCGATTTTCAAACAATTGGAAATTGTTAGAAAGTTTCACTATTTCTGAAAATAAATTTTAATTTCAAACATAATATTAATTTATCGTTGATTTATTATTTTTTTTTGATTAAAAAAATTAAATTCGCTCACTAATTTCAATTTATAATGAATGAACATATTTTGCTGGACGAATACATAAGGAAGTATATCAATGTTGAATAATCCAAGAAATTTATAAAGCAATTCATGAGAATGACGTAAGAACACACAAATCCAATAGCCACAGGAATATGGCGTTGTTCGATAAATCTAAAACTTCATTTCCAAATACTGATGCAGAAGTCTGTTAAGTGATGATTAAATCAACTTTTATAAACGTAAACATATTCTTAGACACTATTTTGAAAAAACTGAAACAATAATATATTTATGTTTTGAAAGACATGCAATTGAAAATGAACTACAAAGTACGTGACATAAAATATGTTAACCGCTTGATTTATCAACGCATATTTCCCGTCTGTTTAAGAAGCACACACATAAAGTCATGTAAAATTAGGGTTTATTTTAAATAAAGGTTTCTCGTTTTGCGCGAGGAGATTAATCTGTTCTAAATAATAACTTAAACTCTTATTTATATTTTATTTTCTAACTTTTTTTAGATATTACAAACTTTTAACCAGGAACATCATGTTCCCACATATTAAAAAAAAAACTTTTATTTAAATGAAAGCTCTTTTGAAGAATAAAACTAGAGTATCTTTTTATTTTCAAACCCCCCCTCGTACTTAGGGCTATTATCGGTGGACCTCCTGCAAACCACGAACATCCCAACGACGGATGCGGGGCAAGGCACTTAGGGGTAAATACTCCGAATTTGCGTGATTCGAACATCGACCTTCTTGCCCACAGATGCAAATGTTGGTACTGGACTACGAGTCGGGCAAACGAGACTACTTAATAGAAGATATAAATATCAACTAAAATGTGAATTATATTTTTTTGGAAACACAAATTATATTCAGAACAAATAAAGATAATGAAGTGCAATAATCTATTACAATGACTGTAGTCTCCACAACAAAAATGAAAACATTGAGAAGACACAGGAAGGAAAGCAAAAACCGGGTCGTGATACCCATACACTTCTAAAAAGATATGTGGGAATATGTCATTTTATACTGGTAGTGGACCTTTAAAAAATACTTACGTTAACTATAATGAAAATTTCTTGGATAACAGTCATGAGGAACATAAAAATAATCCGATATAGTGTAGAAAAGGCATGTATATAAAGTTTCAGATAATTAAAAATCTATACAAGTTGAACAATAAATGGAAGTTAGTTTATTTAACCATTTGGAATTTAGTTTATTTAACAATTTGGAAGTTAGTTTATTTAACCATTTATTAATACATTTACTAATACATTTACAGGAATATTAAGTCCATTAGATATTTTTCAGGCCCAAATAAAGTTTTTATGCGGGAAATTGTGTGGACATTTGCCTTACTTATTGTATAAATATGTTGTTTTTGTTGTTTCTTATCCCACTTGGCTGGCCAAGCCCACCAGCCCATACGTACGCGTGATTGAAGGGGAAGGAAGCAGCTTCTGTTGTGATGGAGCACCCGTAGGTAGAAGTCTTACTTTGGCTCCGTGACGCTCTTACAGTCATAGGAGACCGGGATCTACGGCTTAAAGTGGATTCCGAACCACTAAAAACATCCATGGCACCGTCGGGACTCGAACCCGAAACCTGTGGCACCGAGCGCCAGAACGCTAAACACTCCAGCCATTCAGGTCCCAAATGTGTGAATGCCAACGGCACGCGGTGTTCCAGGTGGTCCCCCACACAAGTACTGACCGTGCCCAATGATGCTTGACTTCGGTGATCTAACGAGAACCGGTATATTCAGCATGGTATGGCCGTTGGCTTAAAGTTAAAAATTAAAAGTTATAAATATTGTAAATATAAATATGGAAACAAACAAATCAGATTACTTATTTGAAATATACTATATAAAGTTTGCAATGATGTTGATTGGTATTCTATATACATTTGATTGTTATTCTATAGTTCTTATTAATGTCATTTTCCAACAGATCAACTAGAAATTTGAATCTATTGAATATTTATAAAAGGAATCAATGGATTATTGTCATTCTAACATAGATATGTAATATTTTGTAATGCAGTTAGTGTTCATTTCCGTTTTAAATGAAGACATTTTTTTATTTTAAAAATAATTTAGTAGATATGAAAAACCAACTTAATTAACTCTATTTGTGGAATTAAATTCTGAATGCATTTGTTATGAATAATAAGCTATTCTCAATTACTAAAAATATACATAGATATTACTATAAAATAATTACATTTATAATCTATTTTTTACATTGTTATTAGTTTAGAAATAAATCATGCATAAAAGAAGAAAGTATCATAAATTTCTTTAATAAATTATTTTTATTTTTTTAATTATGTTAATTTTTTTCGACATTTTTATAATAAAAAAATTTATTTCATGATAATTTTGGAATGTAACTGAAATTTATGCCCTAGCAATTAAAAAAAAGTTCCTAAATTTAAATTATGAATATTCATTTCAAATTAATGGTATGGAAGCTACTGGATTGATGGTTTTCGATGGTAAAATCTAATCTCAGAAACGTATGGTAGTATTAAAAGTTCCATCTACTAACACTTGACTTTGATGAATACTTGTAGATTAAATATTTATTGATTTCGTAATAACAATATAACTAAATTTCTGTTTTACTACGAAAAAAATGTATAGATATATATTAAAAATTTAATAATATAATATATATATGTGTATATATATATATATATATATATATATACATATATATATTATATTATTAAATTTTTAATATATATATATATATATATATATATATATATATATATTAAAAAAATTGATAAAAGAGTATTATTTATTTTTTTAGATCATTGAGGACTTACCCAGCACTTGGTTGAAATTCATTATATAACTAACGACCACATCTGATTTTATTTTAACTGTAAAACTCATAAGAATTCTCTAAGAGTTCAGATTACAATTTATCTTTTTTTCCTGAATGGATTCGGAAACAACATCAGTGAATTCAAAGTGTATATGTATTAATGACCAAATGTAAAAAAGTAAGGAGGATGCAATCTAAAGTTCTTTCTTCCAGTAAGAAATTCATTTCATTGTGAATCTAATGAGTATGTTAATTAAAAAAACTATTTTCTACATTTAATAATTTTTAATTATTTTTAAATATTTGAAACATGTACACTTTCTTGTTGTTGTACATTTAGATTGGTACTATATTATATATTAACCAATAAAGGTTAGCTAAATTTTCGAAAAATTCTTAAATTTATTTTTGTTACGTTCGATTTTATATACGTTTTTAGTTTCTTACTAATCTAAATTTTTCAATTATTCATGTTCGTCTTACACTTAGAAACTGTGAAAGTTGTTTTAAATTGCTTTTTATCAATTCATGTTGTGTGTGTAGATTGTATTCGATGCATATACATACACAATACTGTTTGCTCATTGGCTTCGTCAAAACTACTCTAGTTATTTCTGAAATATTTTCTATTCTGTTTTAAAGTTCTGAAACTGTGGGATGACATTAATGAAATGGTGTTATTTTCAAAAGTATATATTTATACTTTTTGTTAATATATCCTTTCAAGCATCATTAATTTATACTGTTCAGTAGACATCAGTTTGAGCTAGCTCTTATTTGTTTGAGAAAAAAATTCAAAATTTGAAATAGAATATTATTTATAATAACATAATTTTAATTTTATGGAACTTAAAATACACTTGAAACAAAGTTTGAACAAATTGTTTAACTTTATTTAATGATTTTACAATGACAACTGCAAAATTGAATGGGCATGTTCATGTATGTACACCAAACGAAATATAAAAAAAAAACGAACAAAGTAAATCAGAAAGACAAAAAAAAAAAAATCGATATTTTTTTTCAGTAAAAGACGTAGCTCATTTTTAGATTTTCTTCCAAAAAAAAAAAAAAAAAAAAAAGGGGAACTACTTGGGATTCAACAAATACGCAACCTATTAGTTAAAATTGTATATATTTTATAGATATTGAACCATTTGCAGATTTCCAAAAACTCCTAAATCATTCTTATTTCCTTACTTATCAAAAAGTATCTGAAATCCTTATTGTTCATTTTATTGTTCGCGGATAAGGCGGAAAAAGTGGAAAATTCCGTACAAGTAGCAAAAGAAAATTCCTTTTACCAGGTACATCTTCCGCACACATACACACACAGGCAGTATTTGCTCATTCGCTTCCCCCAAAACAACTTTAAACGGTCATCCGATTTATTTCGAAATGTTTTCTATCTTGTTTCCTAGCTCCCTGAAACACAGGGCGACGTTGATGCATTGCTGTTGTTTCCATTGTATATATACGTGGAAATGCACCGTTTATTGGTGTTTGCTCTGCAGATATCGAAGCTCTTGGATTTTTTCCCCTGTAAAGAGCTCTTGTTAGATGTTTGAGGCTAAAGTCTAATCTTGGAATCTCGCATCGAATGGAAAGGATAAAAAAAAAAAAAAAAAAAAAAAAAAAGAAAACGTAAGAAGAGCTGCTAACAATTAAGTCGAGAGAGATAGTTAGATAGATTTTAGGCGGGAAAGTAAGACAAATTATACATGGATGCTTTTCACTTTCGCAGAAGTTGTTTGGAGAAATTGTTTACTGTATGTTTCTTGTTTTTTTTTTTTAGTAACACATTTTCTACTTTGCGTGAGTAAATTAAAGAAGAGAAATAACTTAAAATATTATTTTATAAACGACGAATTACAGATATACCCACTTTTTGAGTTAACATTGTTAACTGTATCATTATATTCTGAGAAAAATGCATAAAATGGAAGTGAAGGCGCATTTATTTTACAGAAAAAGTTAAAAGTAATTTTGATCCCTATTAATTCAGTACTATATGTTAAATTACATAGTAGCATAAATGAAATGTTATCTTTCAAATGACTTTTATAATTAAATTATTTTTTAACTTAATTGAGTAATTTACTTTTATATGTTTCTTTTCAGGAAAAGTTTCAATACTTACATAATTTTGATTTTTTTTTTTAATATATCATTTATAAGCCTCATAAATCAATAGTGTTCAGTGGATATCAGTTTGAAATATCTCTTATTTAATTAAGAATACATCTTCTTGATTATACCTTCAAAAAGATTTAAGGAATTAACAATGTTTTATAATAGCATAGCTTTAATTTTTCTGTTACTGTGGAACTTAAAATACTTAGAAAACACAGTTTAAACAAATTGATTTATTTTATTTAATTAGTTTTAAAATAAAATCTGCAAATTTAACTGAAATGTACGTGTATATCAAACGAAAAAAAAACAATGTATAAAATAAAAAGATAAAAGATAAAAAAAAATCGATAGAATTGTTCCAGTAAAAACGTAACTCATTTTTAGATTTTCCATAAAAAAAAAAAAAAACAAGAAATTTCTTGGGATTCGCAACAAATACTCATCATGTTAGTTTAATTTGTATATATTTTATCGAACCATTTGCAGATTTTTCAAAAACTCCTAAATCATTCTTATTTCCTTACTCATCAAAAATATCTGAAATCATATGTGTTCATTTTTTTTTCGCGGATAAGGGGGGAAGGGAAAATTCCACACAAGTAGCAAAAGGAAATCCCGTTTACCAGGTACATCTTTCCACACACACACACAGGCAGTCTTTGCTCATTCGCTTCCCCAAAACAGCTTTAAACGGTCATCCGATTTATTTCGAAAGGTTTTCTATCTTGTTTCCCAGCTCCCTGAAACACAGGGCGACGTTGATGCATTGCTGTTGTTTCCATCGTATATATACGTGGAAATGCACCGTTTATTGGTGTTTGCTCTGCAGATATCAGCTTTGGATTTGTTCCCCTGTAAAGAGCTCTTGTTAGATGTTTAAGAGTAAAGTCTAATCTTAGAATCTCGCATCGAATGGAAAAGATAAAAAAAGAAAAGTAAGAAGAGCTGCTCGCAATTAAGTCGAGAGAGAAAGGTAGATAGATTTTATGCGGGAAAGTAAGACAAATTATACATGGATGCATTCACTTTCGTGAAAGTTGTTTGAGAGATTGTTTCGTAAATTGCTGTAAGTTTCTTGTTTTTTTTTTTTTTAGTAACATAATTTCTACTTTAACGTGAGTAAATTAAAGAAGAGGAAATAACTTAAAAATATTATTTTGTAAATTAAGAATTAAATTGTTTTCAGATATACACACTTTAATAAAGTAATATACATTGTTGACTGTATAATGATATTCGAAGATATGTATAAAATGGAAGTGCAGGCACATTAGCTCTACAGAAAAACGTATAAGATAAAGATCAATCATATGTAATAATCAAAGTATGATCATCATAATGATCAAAGAATATGTAATGTATATATGTGCTTTATGTATATGTAAACCAAACGAAAAATAAAACTCAAAAATAAATAAGGTAAGATAGTAAGTTAAAAAATCGATATTTTTTCCCAGTGAGTTTCTTTAAAAAAAGAAATTATTTGGCATTAGAACTTTATGTATTATGTTCTCTATCTTGTTTAGAATTTCAGAAACAGGGCTGACATTAATTAATTTGTGTTTTTAAAGAGTAAATATTTATATTTTCTGTTAATATATCATTTATAAGGTTCATTAGTTTACAATGTTGTGTGGACATCAGTTTGAACGGAATCATATTTGTTTGAGAATAGTACATACCTTTGAGTTAAATTTGACCTAGATTTAATAAAATTTATTATTGATAATTAGCTGTCAATTAAAATGTATAAGATTACTTATAATAACCTAATTTTAATTTTTCTGTTAATGTGGAACTTAAAGTA